CGGAGATTAGAGCTGTCGTTGAACATTTCTTGATTGATTCTTTAATGTCTGCATTTATTCGTTACCATCACCACTTCTGACTCTGTTCTATCGTCCCCATCATGTATGCCAGTCTTATTTTTTCTCGAATGAGGGGATTGTCGAAAACTTTTGCGCTCATATCAGCAAGAAACGCAGACGGGAACACTGACGAATCACGATGCGAAGCGAGGTGCAAACCTCGGTCTGTCCGTAACGGCGATTAATGATTCTGTCAGAGCCTCAGACTCTGAGCCTGCGGCCGGTTACAGAACCACTGCCTGCGTCAGGGCTACCTAATAGGTGAAGTGTCAACATAGCATACTCCAAAACAAACGGATAGGTAGTACTTATCCGTTTGTTTTGGAGTATGCTACGTTGATATTTCACCGTGCTGTGCTTGTCGGAATGCAGCATTTTCCCACTTGAATGAAATGATCATGGTGCGAACTTCGCATTGCGAAGTGCCATGCAATAACTGGAAGTTTCAGTCCGAAATCGCAAGCTGGGCCTTCCAGTGAAAGTGCGAATCGAATTCTCGCTCGCCACAAAAATCTTTGATCATCTTGGCGAGCAAGGTTTCCCTATACTCAGTCTAACCGAGACCACTAACACAGGCATATATCCCAGGCATCACCTGGTGTGAGACCTCTCGCTTTTTGGGATTTTTGTGCCCATTTATGGTCGTTTCGGAAATTTTTTCTTTATTTTTCCTTATTTTTCCTTATTTTTCCTATTTTTCCTATTTTTCCTGCTCGAAAGAATTTTCTAAATTTCCTTCATCTTTCGGAAGGAAATGGAAGGAAATAATTGGAAGGAAATAATTCGTGCCACCCTAATCCGAACAATGTCCCGGTTTGAATCTCTGAAAGTCCTTCATTGCAAATTTGTGAATTGCACTTTACTGTTCAGCATTACAGGGCAGCCCGTAGAGCACCATCAGCACTTGAAATTTGCTAGTCGCAACTTGCGAGTCGCAAGTTGCGACTCGCAAGTCACAATCCGCGGCACGACGCTGACGAGAATTTCCTTCCATCGAATGAAAGTGAGCTTTCATTGGTCGAAATTGGTCTTGTGTTCGACGAATTTGAACTTACGTTTCTGAATTCATAAATTTCATTTACGAATTTGAACTTTCATTTTCAACCGGTCTACGAAAATCGAGCTTCCATTTCGAATTTGAACTTTCATTTCACGAAAAACACCTTTCACTTGTCGAAATCAAATTTCATTCACCTAATTTGTTCTTTCAATTGTTGAATTTGAGATTGAAGAGGTGTAGTCATAGGGGCAATTAAGAATGACCAATTCTCAACAAGTTAACAAGTGGTTCTGAACTAATGATCAACACAATCGTTGATAACGACTCGTTATAAAGTATATGCTAGGCTAGCCGAACGCTTTGCGAGTCGCAAGTCGCGATTCATACTGTACCAAGATGAAACTGATGGGAATCTGTATCCGTCACGGATGCATTCATTACGCTGCCCATCTATAATAGATGGTCTATCCGTGTACGGTTTGTGGCAGGTTTACGGCGTGTGCGGAATCTTAGTGAACGGAGGTGTTCGCGCACGTATACACGAATCTCGCTCACTCATTAATCGCAGCATGAAACGACTCGCAGCCCTCAGGTTGAAATGGATAAGATAAGAAGCCTTATTACCTATTATGGCTATCCCATGTGTTGTTGAGTCAACCAGTGCGGATTTCACTACTGCCATGGTGCCACCATGCCACCATGGTTCTCCACCATGATGGTGGAGAACCCGCTGGCTGAGCTCCTTGAAGTCCTTGGTATTGCTGATTCAGCAAGGCTGAACCCGCACTACTACTATGGTTATCTGCCGCTGAGTTAGAGACTGCCATGGAAGGTCAATCTATTAGTAAGAATGTCTATCTACGACGTAATTTCTTCACCTATATAAACGTCGAAGGCTCTAACTCTCAAGCTGCAAGCCCCTCTCGAAGGCCAGCAAACACAGTACATCCACAGAAGGTTACATCTTCTGCTCCCACTGTGCGAGTCTACCCTCAACGGGTCCCAACGGGTCTCAAGTCTGTCCCGCTCCCAACGGGACTCAGATAAGTTCTTTATCTGAGCGGGAACTGGAATGTGCGGGAAATCGCTGATTTCCCGCTTCTTCCCGCTACTACAAACCACAAACCGAAATCGTCACTTAGGAAATGTCGTCCCATCGAAGGAGACCCCTTGCCGACCACTAACCGCGGGCGAGCCAGTATTAGCCTAGTGCCGGCTTGGCCTTCATTAAACCTCAGTGAAGCGGCTTCACTGAAGCCCTTTACTAGGGCTGATATAGGAAGAAACGTGCTGATTGTATAGATAGTCATAGTGGTTGGGACTAGAAAACTCCTAGTAGGGAGTAGCCAACAACAACAGGAACAACAACAGATGATGATCGACCGATCAGTTTAAAAGCATTCGCTAGCGTATACTTACTTATTTTCCAATATGTTACCTATGAGGGGCCAACTTGGCCCGGCCAAGGCCAGATCGTTCATCTCGTGACTACTGATCTGATCAGTAGCACCGTATGCTAGAGAATATCAGTAGTACTGATTCAGAGCATCTCGAATAACTCTGATTGACCCAGATGCTCCCGTGGATGGTGTCGGGAACGCTCTTCGTAAGAGCTACGTTCGCAGATAGTTGCAGCGACTTATGATATTTCAGTGATTCGCGTCACCGTTGAGTTCATATGAGTATATTTTCCACTTAGCGGACCATTGAGTGACTTATTCTAGGCTAGAATTGCTAGCTAACATTGTAATTTGTGGGGAACCCCTTGCAGCTCGTTACCAATGGTAACTTACCATTGATACCTTACCCATGATCAAGTAGTTGCGAAACAGTTAACGACCATAGAAACAGCATATCTCAGACTCGCACCTGCGTCGATTGTATAGTAAATGAGCAACCTAACCACTCGAGCATTTACACCGTAAAACTTGAAATGTAACTTTATTCTATACCTGTAACCATGGTTGAGTAGATACTTAAGTACGCCTCAAGTTAAGGAGCTCCTCAAGTGGCTTCTAAACGTCGTCAAATGAGTTGAGTGCTTCTAGAGTAGAGCTCAAGTAACTCTTTAAGTTGATCCTAAATTTTAGGCGCCTTAAATTAAGTATCCTTGTGAAAAAGGCCCAAAATGCTTTGAGAAAAATGCTGGCGAAGCGTCATGATGTACGTCTCAGCATTTCCGCGAGTTAGGGCCGGGATGAAGCAAAGCGATTGGGCCTTACCGCAATCTCAAATAAGTCCTTGAGGACGTGGGTTAGCCGAACGACTTAACTGCCTTGCTCACCTTGCTCAAAAGAGCTAACGTTAGATCATAATGTTCCCAAATTGAGGGCGAGTCCGAGGGACTTGAGTAACCTAACCGGTTCTCGATGAGGACCGGTTAGAACTTTTCATTCCTGAGTCAGACTATCTTATCTCAGATTCTCGAGCTCTTTACCGTTTGAAGGTAGGTAAGTAAAAGAGGTCCCATTGAACATGGTCTTGCAGTCCCCCGCTGATCAAAGATTTGCACCGTCAATTGCCAGTCGACATTCTCAAATTTTGTGAAATCCTTGAGAGAATACCTCCATATTACGATGATCATAATATAATCTATGCGCTATTATGATGATCCTCGTGCTCTTAAGGTCCCGCATACTGTTGTCGTCATACATGGAGGTGATGAAGATGATTGAAAGTCATCCAAAACGCAGTTTTGAAAAGAAAATGAGAAATATTTCAAATTTTCCAGAAAATTTCTGAAAAATTCAGTGATATTTCAGGTGAGGTATTTCACGGTGTCTTCCTGCGCGGACGAAGCGACTCTTTGTGCCCGTTCCTGAGAAGTTTGCTGATAAGGCAGCGGACAATATACGTGACTGGTTTGAGGCTTATGAGCTTTATACCTACGGCAATCTCTATGATGACCGTACACGTGCCTGTTTCTTAAGTGCGTTCCTTACTGATGATTCTGCTAACGTTTGGAAGACCCAATGCTCGAAGGTCAATTATGATTATGAGTGGAAACTGTATGGAAGTCCCACAAGGTGTGCCTAAGGCTCATAGGGACTCTGGAATTACCGGAATGTATCAACGCACGTGTATGCAACCCCCCATTGCATACAACACATCATTGTGCCGCCCCGTTTTTGGGACGTGAGGACCGAGGTGGGCGGCACCTAGTTAACTACTGACCATATACGATATTCCCGATGACATAGCTACCACAGTAGTAGTAGACATACATCTGTCTCAATCGACTTATGTCATTCTCAGGTTACGTAACATTTATACGTTTCATAGAGAATCAATCTATAGAACTCAGACAATTAGTGATACAGACCAAAGTTTGGTTTGAGTGGTGAGCTTAGTTACTAAACTCGCCAGTCAACTGGCACTATTTCTCGAAAACGCATTGTTTAGAATTGATGACTACTGCTCCTACGGCTACAGGCTTATACAGCTCAGTGAGCTGAGCTCACCTCTTCCCAAGCATACTTCTGAACTTTTCGAGTTTCGAGGCTCGATCTCGAATCGATTCGGTCCCAGAAGTTATATAATCGATTGGCTCAATGTCGATACCGGGAACCGAGAATCGATCTCGAATCGATTCTCTCGATTCAAGGGCGCCGGTTCGATCCAAGGCACCGGCATTTTTATGTATTTTCTATTTGAAAAGTTGCGCACAATGAAACCACTGAAACCCAAACCCGTGACATACAGCCTATAAGTTTTGAGTTACTGCTACAAATAGTTGAGCCGCTATAGTGTAGCGCTGCTAATTGTTGTTGAAATAGTAGCCAAGCTGCATGGCCGGCGGCCGTTAGCCGCCGTGTCACGGCGCATTTCGCGCCGTTCATCGTTAAACGAAGCACTGCTTCGGAAGCACATAGCCTAGAAGTTTTCCTGCGTATACCATCTGATTTCGTTTGTCGTAGCACAACGTACCATTCGCTTTCTCATGCCTACATCGAATGCAGCAACGCCGCGAGGTCAGGGTTCCGGATTCTTTCCACCCGGTATTGGAGGTGGCTTCTCTGGTGGCAGAAAGCGTCGCAGGATTGAAACTGGGATAGCACCCATTATGGATCTGTCTTCTGAGCACAGCTCTCCTGAAGCGCACTCTTGCTCTCGTGGTGTTCTTCGACGCTCTTTTGGTGCTCCTTCTCGCTCCTCTGGTGCTCCTCCTCGCTTCTCTGGTACTCCTTCTCGCCCCTCTGGTGCTCCTCCTCGCTTCTCTGCTACTCCTTCTCGCCCCTCTGGTGCTCCTCTTCGCTTCTCTGGTACTCCTTCTCGCCCCTCTGGTGCTCCTCCTCGCTTCTCTGCTACTCCTTCTCGCCCCTCTGGTGCTCCTCCTGGCTCCTCTAGTGCTCCTTCTCGCCCCTCTGGTGCTCCTCTTCGCTTCTCTGGTACTCCTTCTCGCCCCTCTGGTGCTCCTCCTCGCTTCTCTGCTACTCCTTCTCGCCCCTCTGGTGCTCCTCCTGGCTCCTCTGGTGCTCCTTCTCGCCCCTCTGGTGCTCGTTGTCGCTCTTCTGGTACTCCCTCTCGCTCCGGTGATTCTCCTCCTCGCTCCTCTGGTACTCTCTCCCGCCCCTCTCAGATCTCAGCAAGAACTGTTGAGGCTCCACCTGATGCCTACGCTGAACCGCCGTGCAAGTCTAAGCTAGATTACGAGAAATACGACACTTGCCCCAAAGAAAATCGCCGCTCAAAGCCAAGCAGGGTGTGGGAGCAGTTTCATGTCATTCGGTGCAAGCGAACTGGGTTTGTCTACCCAGAGCGCGCGGTCTGCAAGAAATGTGGACAGGTTTACTCTATGAGGAAGCAAAATACTTCGGCGCTTCTATGCCATATCGACAACGGATGCGACGAACAAAGGGATCAGCCACCAATAGCATCGTACTTTTACCAGAAACGGAAGGTCAATTCCAATCAGAAATCTGCTGTGAATGCGGCGTTGGTTGATCTGCTGGCATGCGTGCCTGGTATAAGCTTCAACGGAACCCAGATAGCAGCATTCAAGAAATTCGTTGAGGTCGCGGCTCAGTGGGGGCAGAAAATAGGTCGGGCTTCGATGCATCGCAAGTCTTATTTTGCCCCAAGACTCTTACTGACGACATGTTGAAGAAAGGGGCGGACGCCACAGAGAAGATTAAGAACCACCTAGCTCAGCAGCCAAAGCCAATAATGGTAGTACGGGAAAAGGTCAGCACGGGATCGGTATTGGGAAGGCGGACTAACGGAGGTATCTGTCAGCCTTGCAATCTGCGAGTTTGTAGATACTTTTCGACGGCTGGACCAGCCACCATAAGCACGAGAATGTGCTTGGAGTCACCACACTTTTGAATGTTAACGACGTGCAGCGGAGCGTTCTTCTGGCACTGGAGACACCAGAGACCATGACCGCTGATGACATTCAGGAAAGCTTGGAACGGGTAATCTCAACGTTAGCGACTAATGGTTAGTCCATAAATATCGACTCTATATTTTTGGACTAACCGCCAGTTAGTCCATTCATCGACTCGATAATATCGAGGAGCAATGGATCACTGAAGCTCAGTGAACAGTATTAATGTTTTCAGGTATGTTCTAGATATCAAATCCCGATAGAAAAGGTGCTATTTGCCAGTGATAGCTGTTCGGCGAATACGGCGGCTCTCGGGCAAGGCAATATGGCCTCCGTGTGCTGTTTTGCACATATGGTGCAAAACGCCCTGAAGGCCGGGATGACACACCCTGTGGACAATGCGATAGACAACTGCGAGGATGCGCTACGCAGCATGAACACTGGAGAGACTCTTGAAGCTTTTCTCGAGGAGCAGGCAACGGCTCCGGTCGAGTCGGTTCTTCTGACAAGCTCGCGCCTCGTTGCGTACTTCAAGAGGTCGAAGCTGAATGGCAAGCTAGCACGTCTTGGATACAACAAGTAATAGAGTCGCTGTGTATGTTTCAACGGTCAGATCAGGCTAAAGCGAAGGAGCACAGTTCGCTGGGACTCTGTTTATGAGATGATCGATAAGATAATTAAGAGCTGGTCGGGTATTGAAGAACTTCTCAGAGAAAAGAATAAAACGAGGTGATACCTTAAGTCAGCTTAGTAAGATCCAAGCTTAGAAAGCGTCCAGCTGTTCTAGGCCAAAACTAACCAGTAGTGTTAACTTTATTGCGCTCAGGAACTTCCAGAACTTGCTTTCGAACAAAGAGCTATTGATTCAAATTCGTAGCTTCTTAATCCCTTTTCGCATAGCGACCAAAGTTATGCAAGGGAGGAAGCCGGGAACGGCAGTAAAATCCATTGTGTGAGTCAAACGGAGTGGTTCATTTTCTTCGCCTTGAAGTAGTCTGTGAATCCTCAGGAAGCTTGAGCGGTGCTGGATATTCCTTCAAACTTCTCCTCCTGGAGAATTTGAGGATTTGCAAATGGTACGCAGTAACGTCAAAGAGCAGTTCTTCCTGAAGGTACCTCGGAATGGACACGTAGTTTCCGATTGGATCTCTCGATTGCAGGTCATATGTAACCTTACCCCAGACGCTTTGCTCCCTGCAATGTTGCACCCTGCAACGAAGGTCAGAGGTGTAGAGAAGCTAAAAATGGTTACTGAGTATAGAAGACGTATCAAGGGTGAAGAGTCTATTCTCCGCCGTGAGGACTTAATCGAAGCGCTAAAAGGATGGTCGCTCATCACCGAGAACAGCAACGAAAACAATATACACACTAATCATAGTACTAGCGAGAATGATGCTGCTGAAGCTAATATGCTAGAACAAGTGGTCGAAATTGCTGACGACAGCCTCCTGCAAGGATTGATTGACGTGAAAGACTTGCCTAGGTGGAGTGAGAGGGGTAGGGACAGAACAGCTGATGAAAAAGCCCTGCTGATCGATAAAGAAGTTAAGCAATGGGCTAAATTGGGTGGGCATTGTGAAGACTATGAGACCTTTTGGAATACTGCTAAGCTGGATTATCCCTATCTTGCTCGCACGGCAACGGTGGCACGCGGGGTGGTTATATCAACGGCATGTGTGGAGAGTCTGTTCTCCGAGATCCGGGATATCATAGGTGATAAGCGCACCAGAATGAGAATGGAGGTTGTTGAAGCACTTCTCAAAACTCGTCACACATACAGATTGTGGGACAATGACAAGTAGATGTGAGAAACTCACAATGTGAGTCTCACATGCTTCGGTGATAATTATTATGCAATTCTGAGGCTGATTCCACAACTACAAGCTTTCAGTGTTTGATTTCGCTGTCGAGGTGCATCAGGCGACCCTACTTCTAGCCTTACTTGAAACCTAATGTCTATGGGGTTGATGAACATAAATGTCGAATATGAGTTGATTAAATCGATGGTATGTAAATCATACTAAGCGGTGTCATCAAATGTCATACTCTTCTATTTGATAGAATCTATTGTGTCTTTGACCTTTCGATTAAATCATTCATTTTGCATATGCAATTAACTCATCGACTACATGCTATCTACACTCTTTATAGGGCGCTGAGTTCAAGAGTGGCAAGACAGTAAGGGTACCAGTGCATGACAGGCACTGCCTGTGGCTATCAACTGAGCGGTCTAGCCTCGACCCTTATTTTTTTTTCGCGCGCTACGCGCGCGTGGATGTGCTCTGCGGCAGCCGTCCTAAATTGTTGTCGAACTAAGCCTCAATGCCGACGTAAAAGAACATTTCAATGGATTTTGAGTTTCGAGGCGGATCGATTTCTCGAATCGAATCGATTCGTGCGCCCGCCGTAGCATCCTCGATTGATTAGCACCGAACAATCGATCGATTTTCGATATCTCGATCCAATCGAGCCTCGGTCCGATGTATGTTCCCAAGCCTTGCTGAAGATGGGTGCAGAAACTGCAATTTGCAGGCTGCAAATAATATTAGTCGTGAGTGGTCCACTCCGATGGCAGTTGCTTTCTCTTTGAAGTCTATAAAAGCAGTAGAGTTTGTCATCCGTACTGCAGCATAGGCAAATTACCCCTAGGGCTTGCTCCTAGGTGGAACCACCATCATTCGCTCGTATTGTGCGGCAAGTTCAACTCTACTGTCGTTCGCGAACATAAATGCCGCGCCCTCATAGCGGATTTGCTGCTCCGGGTATGTTGTGCTGATCCGGATGTCACATCCGGATCCTAACATTATACCCTCACACATCCGGGATGTGCATCTAGATCAATCTTCAACGTGGAATGGTTGTTGAGAGAGTGCTGGATGATGCGAGCTCCATATGCCCAACGCCTCCAGGGGTGCTTGCTTCACTCTAACATAGTTGTCCTCGTAGACGAGGTGCTCGCTAAGCCTATTGGAGGTGCCTCGTGCGCATTCTGCAGCATATGATAAACATACTAAGGTACTTTACTACGATATCATTCGCCGAGAGTGACATTTTTCTCTTGTTGCCGAGGGCGGCGCTGCTCTTTTGTCAAGGAGAGGTTGCTCTGCTCTAGTACTCTCATATGCTCCTCACATTAGCAGAGTCCGCTCATGGAACCCTAATAGTATTGAGTACATCTTTGCTTTGTTATGAAGTACACATAAGCTAGCGGTAACCTCTAAGATCCTCCTGTTCGATTACACAACAGGGCAGAGGGCTGACCAAACTCACAGCGTGCAAAGCAGATGCTATACAGTATATCTAGTATAGCCTATACTCGGAGAGAGCCTCACGTTTCGCGGAAGGCAGTAAAAAAATGAGTATAACGAGTAGTAGGTCAAAGGAGTATACACATAATTCTAAATATAATACGGTGAGATATATTCTGCTGAGCCGAAAAGTACGGTGAGAGCGGAGGAAACAACATCGAGGCTGAACCACGACTATCAGTCTTCAACATCATAAACCACAGGGAATACTCCGGGTATTTATGTTCGCCCGAAATTGAGGCCACGGTTACTACTGCCGAATGTGATGTCAAGCACAATATCCAATCAAACGGATTCCTCCGTCAAAAAATACTCTTCCAAGACTGTATCTGGTTCGGGAAGGTCTAGACGTTTATCACCAATATGTTGCCAACATAATGTTGGGCAGATCGCCAGCGAGATGTAGTAGAAGGATATGACTCTTCCATGTATGCATCTCAGGACATATTGATATCGCAGCCAGGATTGGTGGCGTGAAGTGAAGAATGATGATGGAAAGGCGGTCGCAACGTTGATGTAAATGAGAAAAGTGTGTGTCGTGGTAGACTTGTGGTATCTCAGAGACCTGAATCGGGTCTCGTACTATCACAACGCAACGAAGCTAAGCTGGGGAGAAAAAGTTTCCGTAGCTGCTCTGCAACGGAACTGGTTGTTCTTCTGTAGAACATCTACATATCAAAGTGACGGATTAGTGACGCAGTTCAGCCTGAGAAGCAAACACCTATTTTGTAAAGGAAATAGTACTACAGGAATGCCGCGTCGCCGCAGAGATGCACCGTCGGAGACCGCTAAGAACCCCTCATCATTCATCTTAAATATGCATCCATCACACGCGGCAAATGAGTTGTCACAAATCGACACCCCAATCGCAGTAAAAATCCGGTAGATCCGTAGTAAAAGCAGTAAAAACACTGAATTTACCGGAGTTTTTCGCCATACAGAACTCTGACTATGATCTCGCTAACTCGCACTCAAAACAGTGAGGGAGTGACATAAGCGAACGAGCTCCGTAGAACGTTCAAAAAGACGAAGCACCACGAAAGCACACCCCACGAAGACATGCGCAGTGCGCATGCGCACACACGCACGCATCCAATGCTCGTCGATCCAATCGGTCATCCTGAGCATAGTCGTTGCTTAGTAAGCATTGCTTACTAAGCAATGCTGACGTAGCCTACGTCGTAGGTCCTACCAAGTCGGAATAAGACCCAACTACGCTAGTCGTTCCGATAAGAGATAGACGGATTATAAGCCGCAAGAGGCAGCCGCCTCCAACAGTGAATCACCGTCGGTGATCGTGTCTGTCTTGACTCCTTCATTTCCTTATAGTTGGTCTATACGTGTACGGTCCGTGGCAGGTGTATACCCTACATGTGGTAGATCTAGACTCTCTATTATCCATCTCAACATCAAGCCTTGAAGGTAGAGACACGAGGGGTTGATAGACTGAAAACAATATCATCACACACAATACATTGAACACCTTATCATCACTTGTATCATTATATTAGCATAGTAGCTACCCTAGACTTTAGCACAGCCTGTAGGATATTGTGCAATAGGGACGATTGTGGAGGGTGACGAGTAGAGGAGAACAAGGTCCTAGTCATTAGTAACCCGCTCGTCATCTGGGGAACTCGGGCAGATTATCGGACTTCTCCTCTCTGTGCGGCGGAGAGTGCATCGGTGTCAGATCCTCCGACAATGGGTTGCGGGCTACGGACTTCGCTCTCTCATTGTCCGCCCCCCTCCCTGAGTGATCCGTTGGTGCGCTCTCCTGCCCATTGTTTGGTACTAACCGACCCTTGGAAGAGTTTTATTGGACGGTACAGGTGTGTAACGAAGTAAGAGTTTTACTGTGAAACTCTCGGGGACCGGAGGAGACCCTCACGCATGTGCAGTTGGCGAGAGGTCATCCTGCCGTGTCACGCGGTGGCCGAAGTCAGCCCACGCGCTGAGGTCTCTAACGACCGTCAATGGGTATTTTTTTTGTTTGCCCACCCTCCCACCCGGGGGGATGCGGGCTACGGACTTCGCTCTCTCATTGTCCGTCCCCCTTCCTGAGTGATCCGTTGATGCGCTCTCCTGCCCAAGGTCGTGCGGAATCTTGTTCATTGATAGCGTTTTACGTGAAGTACGCGATTTGATCGATATTGTTAGTGCAAAAGGACTCTGGAATGAGGGAAAGTTCTGAGGATCTTGTTTCTCGGTAGCGTCGGGGTATGTTTGAACTTCGATAGCGAGTTGTAAACACCTTCTGATGACTCATCATCTAGCGCCGATGCCAGCGTTGAGTTGTTGCAAGTAGTGTTGACTTGATGAAGAAGACGCTAGAGTTTGCCATCAGCTCGTGGCATTAAGTTCATGCTAAATGATTGGTCAGCCTTTAACCATCTTGCTGAGTTTCCTTATCCTTTCAGTTTGGGGCGACGACTTGGATCCTCGAGGCCTATTCGATCACATCATGAAGCAATCCGGTGGGAATACTTGACGTGCTCTGACCTCAAAGCTACTGTTCTCTTGTCAGGGTCTGTCTATACTCCCGACGAAGATGAGCAGCATTTTCACCGTTTCACAAATCAAGTGAAAGAAGAACTTCTGCAGACGAGCACGTCGTCTGAGCGCTTGGTTGAGATCTTCAACGACACCAAGCCGGTCTTACTGCAATCCGTAGTTGAGACTATCAACTCGATGCAGGATTCGTGGACTGCTTCAAAGGATCAGCCGCGTTTCAGGGGTATGTCACAGATTCAGACCTTCAGTCACACCGCTTCAAGTGACAAACTTGAAGCCTGAGATTACTGTTTCACAGGTATGTCAGTCCAAGACCTTCCTCGAGGGTGCTCCTTCTCCGAGAGTCCCGACGAGGGGATTCGTCTTGTCGAGTCGACCAGGCCAGTGGTAGAGGATTTGCCACCGGAATTTAACGCCAGTCAAAAGTTCAGCTATTGCCATCATGTCATCGGCCATGTGAGGTGGTCTTCGTTGTTGCTTCCACGGTCACTTCCTGATAAGGATGTATCGCTCAGAGATCAAGGATGGTGTGGTAACTGTTGGGCAGTATGCCCCACTGAAGTTTTAAATGATCGCCTATGTATCAAGTCCAGGGGCAAAATCAAGGAGATTCTATCCGCTGGTTACGTCACTTCTTGCTGCAATCGCGCACATGGATGTCTCGAGTAAATTCCAACCACGAATAATGGCTGATTGACATCGCTTGTTTCTTTCAGTCGAATGTTTCTATCGCTTGTTTTCATGTGAGTGAGAATTGAGACACATCTCATTTTCAGTTCGAAGGGCTGCAATGGTGGGACATTTGTTGAAGCCATGAGTTTTTTGGAAGACTATGGTGTCGTGACTGGTAGGAATCTCTGCTACAGATCAACTGATCCATGAACATCAATCCTAATCCTTGAAGGTAATGACTTCAAACCACAGGGTCAACTGAGTGAGGCTGATGGTTGCTGGCCGTATCCGTTCCAGAAGTGCAACCATGTACCAACGGAAAATAGTGAATACCCAAAGTGCAAGGATGTGAGTCAATCACAGGATCTCATACAGTAAGTTCTCTGGCCGTAGGTGGCTCATCAGCCTCTCCCTCCATGTCGAACAACATGCACCAACAAGGCATACAAGAAGAGCTTAAAGAAGTGAGAGGAACTCAGATGCGGAGCTGATATTCATTTCGACGTCAGAGATGTTCACCGAGCGAAAAGCTGGAGGAAAGTATTTAATGATGCTCAGAGCATCAAGCAGGAGATATTTGATAATGGCCCAGTAAGCTGCTCGGTCCATGTTACCTGGACTTGGGAATGGAAACTTCTCAAAACTCCTGCGAAACTTTTATTGTCATGTTTGAGCATATTCTTATCAGTTGGTAGAGCTCCTACCATAGGAGGGATTCATCCTCATTCATGTGATCTCAAGAATGATGTACCCTGCACCAAGTATCGATTGCGTAGGATCTTTCTTGGATGAATAGCCCGAGCCCATGTTCAGGCGAGTTCAGACTCAAGTTGAGTCCTTCAACGAGTTGTTGCAAGTACAATTCGATTACGATGCATACGCACGGCGATGTTATGCTTGGAGCATTTTGCCGTTTCAGGTCTTCAGCGCCTTCAAGATGTACGAAGATTTCAGATATTACAAGTCTGGAGTTTACGTGCCAACGACCAAGGAAGTCCTCTCCTTCCATTTGGTCAAAATTATTGGTTGGGGAGCCGATTCCGTTCAAGAATATTGGTTGGCGATGAATTCGTGGAACGAAGAGTGGGGAGATCATGGACTAATAAAGATGGCATTTGGGAAGAATCGTTTGGAAGAAACGGTACTTTCCATAGAGCCAGATATGTGATCAGTAGACCGTTAAGTTCGTATCCTCCAATTTTTCGCCCATATCATTCAGTTCAGCGGGTGATTCCATGATTATCTGCTTTGGTTTTCAAGGCTTGAGCTACGCTTAATCAGACAACGCTTATGGTGGCAGTGCCACCATTATGGTGCCACCGTGGCACCATAATGGTGCGAGGCCAGATGGATGTTTCGCCATATACCATTGGGATTTCATTCGACTCGGAGGTCTTCTTTGACGTTCTTCGCCCCTCGTGTTTTGTTCGACAATTTGGATTGTCAGTCCTTTGGAAGACACGGGTTGGACTCGGTCCGCGAAGTCCTCCAGCCACTGCAATCACTGACTTCCGTCATTCAACGGCGCTGAACGAGCCAACCCTAAAGAAATTAATATTCAAAAGAGGTCGACTTCCTATGCTCTTGCGAGAGTTCCACCATGCGCACATCTTCGGGCACCGGGCACGATGATGAAGGCGACAGCATCGCGGATATAATCAATACGTCGTAGTCGTAGTCACTACGAGATGCCACTAGTAATACTAGTGCAGTATAGACTGCACCGTGAGCGGATATCTACTGTCTGTACGAATGCATCGATATAGCCCATAAAACGGCGCTAAACGCTCGAGTCGCTCGGTCTGTCTGTCAGCTCAAGGGGGAAAACGACCAGCAATCACACCCGAACCCGGACGATCCAAGCAGTAATTGGTCCTGGAATATCTGACTTCTCGTGACGGAGCGAACCCGAGGACGTGACTGTCCGACGGGGATCAGGCTGATCCCCGAAGCCGATCAGATCAGGCTGATCCGATTAGCGCAGCACCCCACGGAACTGCTCTGAATCAGAGCCTCTGATCCCCGTGATCGTCCCGGTTCGGATTTCACTGTCGATGATCAACCCCCATTATGATTGACAACACTGCGAGTTTGATATTTTCGATTCTTACATATTGCGAAGAAACATACACATTATCACTGATGTACCTTATTCTTCCTCCGACTCTGAGTCGCTCTCTTCAAAGAGGGACATGGACTTAGTCGAAGCCAGCTTCCGTATCTCGGTCAAATCAATGTAGATGCTGAATGGGAGTCTGCTCCTTCGAGACTACAGAGGGCGTAACCGTTGAAGCGATTAACCATTCTTAGCCACATCTGGGAGGATTACCTATACCCAAGCTCGTTTCCTTATCCCGAGCGATCTCCATAATCCAATCAAATACACTTAATCAAACGTGGATTATCCAAGCTATATGGTGCATGCCAGAATATGCTTGGATTAGCGGCCAATAAATAAAGGCAAGCGAGCGAAGCGAGCTTGGCGTGAAGATCCCAGGCATGATGGCCATCGTCAGACACAACCATTGTTCTGACAAGACTCAACACGAATGCTCGTCTTGAAAACGACGAAACTTTCCGTGTAGATGCATCATTTGCCATGATGCATACTACACGTAAAGCTTTGTTGGACAGCTTACTATTAAAACTCATCAAAAATACAATAAAACGACACCCCAGCGTCGATGACGGAAAAAAAGTACTATCACCGGCGACCACCGCTGTGCTTCTAGTCGTTAACCCATTTCTCGCTACAGTAGCGGATGACCAGTGGTCAACAGTCTTTACCTCATCATCGCTCTTCAGAATACGTATGAATCAGACTGAGAATCTCAGTCTGATCCATACGTATTCCATAATTACGATCCTCCCAAAAACTTAAATCTTTCGCAAGGATCTCTAGAGAGCGATAATGAGCACGAGTTTGATCTACCACCTTCTTGTAGTCAGCTCTCAGGCCTTCAATAGAACGTTTTAGGAGTTCTGAGATTAAAAAGATTAACGTTGATACATCTACCAGCACTAACAATCTTCTTCACACGCTTATAATAAGTGACAACTCTCTCACTAGGACCCTGCTTAACTCAATCAAAACTTTCTCTCCAACGAAGTGGATCATCAGTAATATGTTACTTATCACCCAAAAATCTCTCCGTCATAGATAATATAGTAATAGTACCAAGGCCCAAAGCCGACGATTCCTCCAGAAAATCGAAGATATCGGATAAGACATTAGCATCAACAGCACGGATAAGGAAAGACCAGCAGGTATCAGCATCCAAACGATAGATGCGTACTACTTGTGAAAACGATCTCACCCAAGCCGAGACAGCCTGTCTCAGACAGGTCTAATATCATCTTCACAAGCATATTTTATGCTATCCGAACTAGGCAACTGAGCAATAGCCGATACTGGTATCAGTTCCACTCCTATCAGTGACAATAACGTCACGCAGGTAGTCAGATATATAAGGTCGTCCATCTGAATGAACTTCTGAAATAGCATGAGTAACGGGCACGGGATTTGCACCTGGCAGGAGCAGGCAGGCCTGCTTAACCAGCTGACAAAGCAATAACGTGTCCGCTAAACTCGTAGAATTCTCAGCTTCCTCAAAGCCAACAGGCCTTAGAAACCGGACACTATCCTCGGGAGCACCGAGGAGCACCGCAATTCGATGTAAAGCATCACTCGCAACATCACGAGGATTTGGAAGACCAGCGTAAAGGAGTTGTCGGAACCGGGGTATTCACTGCATCGGGTACCATTGTAGTGAGTTAAGCCGAACCCAAGTATACTTGTAATGGATAGAACTAGTAGGTTTATGAATACAACCAACATAGCAAAACTTTATATGTAAGTGATCTTAGCGTCACGTTAAAATGACACAGCTAACACAAAATTCAAAGACAGATAATTGTAAAGCAGGGGTAATCTCTAATACTGTAGCATAGGCAAAATACCTCCGAGGGCTTGCTGCTAAGTGAAATCACCATCATCCGGTCGTATTAGTCGGCAAGTTCATTTCTACTGTCGTTCGCGAACATAGATGCATCGCCCTTATAGCGGATTCGCTGCCGCCTATGCCATACTGTCCTCTCCAGATCCAGACCGGTCAGGCTGACTCTCGGCAACTCGCTCACCTTGTTGGAAAGGCTGGATGACAGTTGTGTAGGCAGCATTGCTGCCGCAGCAACACCGTCTCTCGCGTGTCGGCCATCGAGGTTGCGGCCTTACTTACCCAGCCATCGTTGCTTCCTCACCTGTGAGGGCATGATGTGATACTTTGAATGTGCACCTAGATCAATCTTCAACGTGGAATGGTTGCTGCGAGAGTGTTGGATGATGCGAGCTCCGTATGTCCAACGCCTCCATCGGGTGGAGTCCACCCTTCACTCTTCGCATAGCCTGGACCATTCTAGCCGATGGACCACGTGGTGCTGTTTCACTCGAACTCTTCGAATCGAACATAGTTGTCCTCGTAGACGAAGTGCTCGCCAACCCTATTGGAAGTTGCCTCGTGCGCATTCTGCAGCGTATGATAATCATACTAAGGTACCTGACTACGATATCATTCGCCGAGAGCGACATATGTCTCTCGTTGCCGAGTACGGCGCTGCTCTATTGTCGAGGAGAGGTTGCTCTCAGAGCAATGCTCTGCTTTAGTACTTTCATACGCTCCTCACATTAGCAGAATCCACTGATGGAACCCTAATGGTATTGGTTACATCTTCGATTCATTATGAAGTACACATAAGCTAGCGGTAACCTCGAAAACCCCTCCTATTCGATTACACGACAGGGCCGAGGACTGAACAAACTCGCAAGCGTGCAAAGCAGATGCTATACAGTATACCTAGTATAGCTTATACTCCGAGTGAGCCTCAAGTTTCGCGGGAGGCAGTAGGTCAAATGAGTATGCACATCATTCTAAATATAATACACTGAGCCATATTCTCCTGAGCCGAAAAATACGGCGAGAGCGGTGGAAACAACATCAAGACTGAACCACGACTATCGATCCCCAACATCATAAACCACAGGGAACACTCCGAGTATTTGTGATCGCCCTAAATTGGGGCCGTAGTTGCTACTGCCTAATGTGATATCAGCAAAAAAAAGCACCAGCATCCGGACTATATCGTATCAAACGGATTCCTCCGTCAAAAATACTCTCCCAAGACTGTATCTATACCTTTCAGAAATCTTTTTGGCGGATTAGGCTATCAATTCAGCTGATAAGGAAGTCACCTTCGCGAACAGGGACATCAATTTAGCGATGAAGGTTGAATAGGGAAATCAATTTCGCGAATAAAGACATCAATTTCATGATTAAGGAATGCAACTTCACGAGCAAGGACATCAATTTAGGGTAGGAGCTCTGATGATGACGATTTACGATGTGCAGCTCTATAAGCCATTCCTGGATGATAGCGCAACCCCACACGATGCTCAGAAACCATATTAATAGTTAATTGCAACTATTCGGCATGCCATGACTGACATAGAAATATATAAAAAATCTCAACGTCAGAACTGAATCGCCCGAAATAAGCACGACACGGCACGCAGTGTTTCTCTCTCGGAGAGAGAAACACTACAGATGACAAGCTGGGCAACATCTTTCCAGAAGTATCTTCGGGAAAGATGCTTCTGCGCAGCGTAAAGGATTCGTTTACACATTATCTGTCAATTCTAGCAGCACGAAGATTCTTCTGTGTTCATCAGAGCTCTAACCCGAAATTGGTGTCCTTGCTTGTGAAGTTGCATTCCTTAATCATGAAATTGATGTCTTTATTCGCGAAATTGATTTCCCTATTCAACCTTCATCGCTAAATTGATGTCCCTGTCCGCGAAGGTGACTTCCTCATCAGCTGAATTGATAGCCTAATCCGCCAAAAAGATTTCTGAAAGGTATAGTTCGGAAAGGTCTAAACGTTTATCACCAATATGTCGGGCAGATCGCCAGCGAGATGTGGTAGAGGGATGTGACTCTTTCATGTATGCATCTTGGGACGTATTGATATCGCGGCCAAGGCTGGCGGCGTGGAATGAAGAATGATGATAAGCAAACGATCGCAACGTTGACGTAAACGAGAAAAGTGTGTGTGTGTGTGTGTGTGTAAACTTGGGGTAACCCGTGACGCTTCAGTGCGTATTACGGGAGGTGTGTGTCGTGGTAGACTAAATTAGTCTGACTAATGGTATCTCAGAGACCTGAATCGGGTCTCGTACTATCAGTGATAGTCGGGCTTCGTTGCGTAGTGATAGCATATCACTACGCAATGAAGCTAAGCTGGGGATAAAAAGTTTCCGTAGCTGCTCCGCAACGGAACTGGTCGTTCTTCTGTAGAACATCTACATATCGAAGCGCGACGAATTAGTGACGCAGTTCAACTTGAGAGGCAAACACCTATTTTGTAGAGGAAATAGTACTACAGGGATGCCGTGTCGCTGTAGCAGTTCGTCGCCGACGTAAATATGAAGTTGAGACCTGAAGTTGAGAAACATGCATCCACCCCACGAGACCAATCGACACCCCCAATCGCAGTAGATAAGGTTGACGAGCAAGATTACCGTGTAGTCGATGAGATTATGCTCCTGTCAATTCCTCCCGATTGTCACTCCTAGATCCAAGAGACAGTAAATAGCATCTTGTTGAGTCATCACGACAATGCTATCAGTTGTATGTCTTTACTTTTCCACCAAACTTGCTATCGGTGCCTCCACGCGACGCCATGCGTGCTGTCCCCAAGCAGAAGGGCGTCACGCCATTGATCATGGCATCTTTTTCCCATTATGTCTCTACTACTCTGCCTGTTGATTATGGCATCTATTAACGGTAATGACTTGAGTACTGAAGTAGTTGGGGATGATCTATTACGTACCTCTGCTGGAATAAGAAGTTCCGGAGTTACACCGATACCCCATTGTGTAGCGATATAGTGGTTTGGGTGGTTGCCACGGGGAAAACCATGATCCGCACTATTTGCGGCGACTAAACACACCTGAGAGTTGACACTCTGGTGCTGTTGGTTTTCTCGATGGCGCCTTTCACATCATCGTCGCATATGTAAGTCATAGTTCGAGCTCTGGTCTAAACCAAATACATTATGACAGAACTGACGATGCAATAACGGCCCTTATACCTCTAGAGGGTGCAGGTGGCCGGGAGAAGCCTCGTACGTATCCCATCAGATGCTGAGTTCCAGCAACTGGGCCTCTCCGAGTGAGAAGTTTTAGCGTCCCGGCGAGCGCTCGACTAATCTAGCGCTCTTTGTGTATTGTGATATATTCATATCTCGCTCATCTTGTGATTCATATTTTATTGTGATTCATATTTCGCTTTTATGCAAATTGCATAAATCGTGCATGTCCATGGAAGTTAATTACGTTGTAACACTCATCACTCACATCTCTTTGTGTTAACCGTCTACATGGGAGATGCTCAAACCCATATAGTCATTATGTCTGATGACCTCAGAAAATGCATTCACCATAGCAGCACGGTCGTCGACTTGATCAGGAATACAACGAACCAACGCGCTCGAAGAATATTCGCCAAACCTTAACTGCATAGCACCCATACTAGAACATAACATCAAACCAGGCAGGATAACGCCACCCATAATCAACCTTAGCAGCGACACATTGTCCTCAACACTAATAGTATCCATACGCATTGAGGTCAAAGCAGAAGCTGCAGCCACGATTGCCGATTCAACTGGAGACGTGCTAGGCAACACGCTATAGGAGACATTGAGGCGGGGGAAGTCGTAAGTGGTTCTTGGACCAAGCGTACCCAACAAGGGGTGCGCTGGGTCAGGAGCCCAATTCGCGCCGGCGTCATAGTAGTCAAACCCGCACAAAAAGCTGAGAGCGAAGCTATAGCCAGCATCAATCGCGTCAACGTCCGGCAAGACACGAGCAGGCACGTCAACACACTTTCTGATCCCCGCCCACAAAGCATCATTTGTTATTTCGTCGCCGGCAGGTGCAATAATATCGCCACCCTGTCCCTCGGCCCAGCCGCGGCCCAATCCGCCGGCTGCCAAAGCCTCAGCACCCACAATTGTCCATGGTGTGCCACCCCAGCGAGGACTAGTTATCAAAAACTTACCTATAGCCACCGCCTCGGGCCCTAATAACACATTCATAATAGCCAACTCACTCGTCGACAAATTATGCTCCATAGCATCGATCATCAAGCGTTCACCCGAACGAAACTAATTGATATTGGTCTCTAGATAACTCAAATACTCATTGCGAGGTACACCGTTGACATTTGGCAGCGCACCAGGCAGCCTGGTTGGCATAAAGGTTGTGCTATTTTTCCATCCGGAAATTTCCGGAAGGAAATTTGCAAGAAAAATAAATGATGGAAAAATAGGGAAAAATAACACCATCTCTCGCCTTTTCTTTCCGCTGGAATCCATCAACTCTCGAGCGATGTATGCCCGGGCAAAGCGAGTAAATCTCCGACTATTATGCAGAGTACATCTAAGATGTAACATCTTCGGGAACACCTCTTGACAAAAGGCTTCTGTGCATATGCCCGACAAATCTTGATCCACGAGCCACTCGTGGCAAGGGTATGAGAATCACATTGTATACCACATTTTCTCTCATAATGAGAGAAAATGTGGCTCACAATGTTCTCGACTTTGACTCATGACATAAATGCCATGATTTAATGGGTTGCGTTTAGTGAATCGTAATCGATTTTGTCTCGAAGAATACATAGAGCCTAGTACTTCATGAAGTCTCAACGATTTCGTCGCGGCAAACGACACTTTGAAGACACGGAGGAATGCTCCAGGGTAGAAGAGTACCACAGGCGGACAGTGAATCACTGTCAGTGATATTCGAGAGAGTACTAAT